ACCTCTAACCCTTTGGCTACAGCGGCCAACAACCAGTTAGAAAAAAAACAAGCTGTCAAGCAAGCTCAACGCTCTTATGTAGGTAAGGCTCTCAGCAAGGCAATCATACCAACTACGATTAGGTACATATGTGTACTTGAAAATAGATAATTGCGTCTCGGTCATGCTGTTTATAGAACTTTTCTTTCTGTGTGCAACTCAAACCGACCGCCGTGCCCTTTCATACCAAAACTCATTTCACGGAAACCCGGTGACTTTTCTACGGAACGCTTGGGTCCCGCGAAACCCACCTTAGAAAGCTCTGATATATATAACATACTCTTGGAAATGCCACTAAGTAGAATTAAATGTGTGCCTGTAATTTAACCAAAGTTATGAGTATTCGGAATTTGGCATCTTAAAGGAAACTCAAGTAAAAAAAATAAATCAATTATTCCGCTGGTACACTTAATTCTCGATAGGTGTTTTATGCTAGAAACTGCTGGTTCTACACTTGTATAATGTGTTCATAAGTCGGTTAGCCCCAACAAACATTTAGGTTAAAGGACGATTCTAATGTGTTTCTCTAAGGTGAAGGTTAGAAGACGATTAGATAAACTTTCGAGAATTGTAGCATTATCTGCAAAAAGGGGACTTAATTCTCAATATCAAGAAAGAGGTTAGATATCTAATCGCGTTCTAACGTTGAATTCTAATTACTAGGTTAGAATTCTAACGTAAAATCAAAATATTTCTCTAACGTTAGAGACTTTGTTGGCTGTGGTGTAAAAACAAAGTTTAAGCTAGTCATCGAGGCGAAAGTTTTCAAGTTTTAATCAATTACACATGCCGAAAGTTTCGCCACGTTTTTTGAGGTTAGAAACAAATTCTGACGCGATGGATCAAAACGGGCTTCAAATTCGTGTTCAGCGACCCTAAAAACATATTGCACACCTAAACTGGTCAAAAGAACCATTCATCAATTTTTTTTTTTGTTGTAGTCCTGTGTTATATATAATTTACATTACCGAGCTTAACTGAGTTTCCATTTTTTCTTATGTTTCCAGGTTCAAGGATTAAGATGAAATCCATGAGATAAGTATGCCACAACTTTTTTTTCAAGAGTCGAAAATCAAAAGTTCCTGAGACCCAAATTCGACGTTACACGATCAATAACTTGTTTTCAAATTTCAATACACTTACACATTTTTTACCTTCCTGTTATTAGCTCGGGATGTAACTATGTAATATTGATGCGCCTAAAAGATGCAGCGATTTCTATTCTCAAGTTACATACCTGATGACAGTACGAATGGCAATTATAATAGGGAGGTTTTAGTTTTTTAAACTATAATTTTATTACTATCACACTTGGTATATCTGAACATGTAACTGTATGAGTAAAAAAATGTGAGTGTAATGAAACTTGAAAGAAAGTTCTTGATCGTGTAACGTCGAGTGACAGTCCTTGGCCGGAATATGGAGATCTGGATCATTCCAGTTACACGTGTTGTGCTTTTTGGGGGTAGCGCTTTCCACTTATGATGTCATAATCGTTTTTTTGACATATACATATAAAGCATAGGCAACTTAAATAAAAATTATGCTTAAGAAAATTTAGCCCAATAAATTTTTCTTTACCATTTCTTGGGCGTTTTTTTTATTCGTCGAACAGATTTGGTTTTTATTAACTTGTAACTTCGATTGCATTTCATTATTTGAAATAAACTGAATAAAAACAAAATACTTTAAAGTGTACTTAAATTTTTGTTTTTTTTTTCGAGCACATTTGCAAGAACATTTACTGATGTTTTACTGCTTACCTAAGCGCTTAAAATTTCGTTTTTCTTGCTTATTTTCTTCGGCCCTGCTCAAATTCAACCTTACAAGGCAGTCGGAAAACGCAAATGGCAGTATTTATCCAACCATTTAAAAACTGAATCATGATATTGAGCTACGTCATCTGTAATTCCTACTGCTTAGTAATGATCTGTCCTAATTTTCTCTTTTATGCAACGCTCTGAGTTAAATGAGTATTCCTCTTTCTTCCCGCGTGGGGTCCTTAAACTTAGAGCAGATTTTAACTACATGCACCTACATACATATCGTCGTTTAAAGTACAAAACCGCGTATCAACAAAATGCAAAACCGCGTATCAAGAGAATGCAAAACCGCGTATGTGAGGTTGCATAAATTATTTTATAGAGAGTAAAAACATTCATATTTAAAAATGGTTCTCTTTTTTATAAAGCAATCGCATTTCTGGCTGGTATATTTCAGGACGAATGGATAAGAATTAAGCCAAGAGTTTGTGTGAGCAAATTCAATTTTTGGCAGCCAATATCAGTTACGCAGTTTTGCTGAATGACGATACGCGGTTGTGTACTTTAAACGACGATATATAAAGTTATCGCTATCTTTCGCGTGTTTGTTGGTGTACACAGTGCACGTCAAAGAGTGGTTCACTGCTACTTGCGCCACCTCTTCCCAACATCATGACTTTCACTTTCTGTCAATCTTTAAGTTAAGTTAAGTTTAAGAAGTTATTAACCCTCTCATGCCAGAAGTTGCCCGTAGGCAACCTTGACATTTTGGTTATAAAGGAAATTGCCGAGTTAGCTGTTTCAACAGGTTGCTGAAAATATTTTTATTTTACATTTCCAAATTTGTCTTACAGTGAGTGTTGAAAATCGATTAGAACGTTTAGTTCTTTAGGACATGCAACCCTAGTGCCAAGTTTTTTATACCCGAGCGCACCTGTGCACACGTTTGTTTGTAACAGCCTAAATAATGGAGATAGATACAGACATATATTTGTATCAAGGATGCATTGTAACGTTAATTTTAGCGTTTACCAAAAAAAAAAGCAATCGTTTCTGTTGAAACGATTCAGTTTTTTATTGTTTAGGTAATTATTAAAATAATTCTATTTTGGGTTTTAATGAAAAAAAATTCAATCGTTAATGCTGAAGCTCTTGCATGCATTTAGGTGCTAGGTGTTAATAGTGAGCTGGCAAGGTCCATCAAAATCCATTTTTCGTTGATGTATTTTGTTAACGATTGATGATTTGTTTCAACGTTAACGATTGAGTTTTGTTTCGTTAATTGAGCTCTGAAACGAAACGAAATTATTTTGATAAGTTATTTTTGTGCATCAACAAAACGAAATCGATTCATATCTCTGATATGATACAGACTGAAAAGAGAAATCGATTGGGCCATGTGGATCCGTTCGTCCGTTCACACGAGTAAAATATGAGGTATCTCATCGAAATTTGGTACATAGGTTTCATTTTATCCAAGGTAAGTTGGTTTTGAAAATGGGCAAATTTGGACAATAACCACGCCCACCTCCAATATATCGGTATTTTCGAAAAGTAGAAAACTACGATATTTCCACAAAAAAACTGCGTCCAAATTGTTGCAAGTTGGAATACGAAGTAGAATTTTTGCATAAAACAAGACTGTTATGAAGTTTTTGGAAAATTGGCATGACTTCGCCCACTTTTATCTACACATGTGTATCTCAGTAACCGATTTATCAATTTCTACTAAACTCGGTGCAGTTATTGCGCTTAGTACAAAAAACGATTATGTTGACCATTTTTTAAATGGGACTAATACTAAGTACTTCCCATTTATCGGTAAATTTAAGAAATACGAAAACTCCGATATTTTAATAACTAAACACGCCATTTTGCTCCAACAATCTCTTAACAAGATATAAGATTACAGATTTCTGGAAAATGGGCGTGGCACCATCCACCAAATTTTGTCCAATTATTTCAATTAGGCTGATATAGGATACTATGAAAACTGTTTGAAATCGGGATAAACGCCCTTGAAAAAAAGATATTTAATACGTGGGTTTGGTATATAATATTCACTTTCGCCCGACTTATACTCCTTTACTTTTATGATGTTATTGTTGACTTCTATTACCGAAAAAAAACGAAATAAAATTAAAATTTATCTTTTTTAGTACTAGGCAAGAATTGCAAAGCTATCAACACTACTATTTTGAATCCCCACGTTCACTTGCTGGGAGAAGATGCAGCATGCATTGCCTACGTTCGTCTTACACAGTACATTGACAAGTAAGTAAATGACTAATATACCGTCAAAAAATCATATAAAGTAACCAAAAAAGGATCTCTGGATTAAATGCAAAAAAAAAATATTAAAAATCATACCCTTTCTATACGTTTTTGAAGTGAATCTACATTAGCGGCGGTTGTGAATTGAAAAATCGTCACCAAAAAAATGTGATCCTTGGGATGCAACGGAAGTTCATCTCACTTTTGTTGAGGATGTTTCCAACAAGATAGGAGCATTATTTATTTTCATCCCTAGTCAGGTAGTTGTTATTCCATGGTTTGCAGCCTCGGGTATGTAGAAATCAGCTGCTCGCATCTCTACCTTTTTCCCCCCTTTTGCCGCAATCATTAGTATTGAACATGAATGTGATTAGGGTTAAGATTGAGATTAAGGCCCTGCACTGACATGCAATTTTTCAGTTTTTATACTGTTTTGTCCCAAACACTAGGTATCAGAAAAATGTAATGTTAGCCCAGCAAACACAGTCTCTAACGTTAGAGAAATTTGGATTTCTACATTAGATAACTAGGGTAATTCTCTAATCGTTCTCGAGTCGATGACGAAGTTAGAGAACTACATTAGAATTCGATTCGAGAACGATTAGAGAAACAACGCAATTTCATATAAATGTAAATAAGCAATATTCCAAATGAATGAATTCAAATGAATGAATTATACATTATTTTTAAGTTCAAATAATCCATTATTATTTTATTGCGAATACATTTAATACAAATTTTGCAAACAATGCGTTGTATTCAATAAAGCAAAAAGCAGTTTGAAATTCACATTCGAATCCCATTAGAGATCAACATTAGAATTCGATTAGGGAATTAATATTTTCCCGAGTCGAGAACTATGTCCCATTTTTGTTGAGATCGCTATGATTCTCGATAGTTTTTCGAGTCGTTCTCTAACGTTTGAGATTGGAGAATGTGGCTAGTTCTCCAATCATTCTCTAATCGATGACTAACCTCAATGTTTGCTGGGAGCGCGCTTAGAATGACAAAGATTAGATTACATATACAGTATGCACTGCGACATTGTGGGTATATTATTTCCTCCACTCTTCACAACAAAGCTTTTATTCCACTCCAGAAATTCCAGAACAGCCTTTGGAGGTAAAGAGCGCGTGTGTCTCTCTTTGGTCACATTGAGCCTGTTCATACGTCGTCTTAATACGGTATAATATTGAAGGAGCAGGTCCAATGGCGTGTCTTTAGTTGAGTCGCAGAAACGACAGAGATCATTGGAACAGGTTCCTAACGTATGCAGATGATCTTATATTGGCAATATTAGACAAAGCCAGTCGCAAATCGAAACTATTCTAAGTCAGCGCCGGGCATAAGATTGTATCGAGACGCGTTTCAACTTCCTAGATTGTCTTAGGCGCACTAATTTCTTCGATCTCCACTTATTTTAATTCTGTGCGCTTTTTTCGCCCTCAACAGACAAGGACATGCGCATACGCACCAATCAGAGGAAACGCGTGTGTGGCATAAGCGAGATAACAAGTGGCAAAATGTACACTTTCATCGCAGCGCATCGGGAAAGATTAGCGGTGCAACGACTTTCGATTTTATCCAACAGCAAAAGTAGAACGATCAATAACGCATAAAACCGACGACAGGGTGCATACCATTAACGGATGAAATAGATTTGAAATTATATGAAATGGAAGTAGCTAAAGCTCTAGCTCAATAACACCAACAATGTCAACAATAACAAAAAAAAGGACATCAACACAGCAGAACCACTTTACCAATCAATATACAGAACAGCAACAAAAGCGAAACGAAAATTTAATAGCCCGTTTATTTGCAACAATATTTACTACCAGCTAGTCAAGATTGTGTCAACGAAGCTGCGTGCACGTTAGTGATTTTGGCGGGGCTACGGGCTACGGGGTAAGGTGCATGAGTAGCCACGGAGTATGAATGTTCTGATATGTACCGCAACAGCAGTGAAAACATATTGTACAACTACAATAGGAATGGAATGTTGAATTTGTATGTATTTAATTATCTATTGTGCAACCCAATAACAGCAAGTCAAAAAACTTGGTGTGAACAGGATTTCCTTCATTTCTAATAAATAGCTTATTAAATAACTAAATTAAAATTATGGCGCGGTCTGGTACAACCGAGCAAGGTCAAAGAGCGTGTTAATGAGAATTTTTGAAAATTATGTGAATTACAGGAAAATACTAAGAAAGGAAGTTAGAGAATGGACAAAAATATGTTTATGTAAGAAAATAGCAAATAAACTGAAGCATGCGGAAATGAACAGAAGCATGTTGAAGAATTATAATTTAATGATTAAGTATAAAGGAAGTGCATGTAGAGTTCATGTTGTGCGCAAATTATTGTAAGCCTTTTTCAAATTTCTATTGTTTAAGAAAAAGAGAAAAAAAGAAGAAAAGAGTTAAGGCTTTTATGTAACTATTTAAGTATTTATTGATATTTGAAAAAAAAACACACTTATAGCTAAATATACCTAGCGCCCTGCTATTTCTAGTATTGGGTTTCATTTGTACTTTTTACTTGTCTACTACATATATCAAATTCAGCCTGAATCGTACTGAACGGATTAAAAGTAAAGTAAAGCACTCAAATTAAAAAAATCACGCTATTTGCTGTGCCTCGTATAAAACAGTAAAATCGGAAACAGAAAAATAATATAGGAACTTTTGAATGATAAATTTCCTAAGCAGCACAACTTACATATTTCAGATTTACAAAAAATCAATAAATAACAAAATAAAAATAATGATAATTATCCTGAAAACAAAAATATAACAAACAAGTACATAATAAAAATTGTAGCCTACAAATGCAGCACGCCACCTAGCGCTAGGGAAATACATTTTTCTTGTTGCATATTTTTATAATACTTGTACTTAATTCATGTATCTAATATGTGCCGTTCTCAAAATTCATAAATATTGTACGGAATTCAGGAAACTAAGCAAACACAAAATAAAACAAGTAATATATTCGATGTATTTATAATGAATTGTAATTACTACTTGCATTGAATATAATAAAACAATAAAAATTAAAAAATTTAGCAATCAAAAAAAGTACTAAAAAGTACCACATACCAGCAGTACTGAAATTCCGTTATTTAACTGAACGCAAAAAATTTTATTTTATTTTTTAATAAAATAAACTATTCTACGTGTTCAGTACCTACTCGCTCATATGCATATTCATATGTACATTAGGGTGGGTAAAAAAAAATCAAGTTTTTTTTTGATCCGACACACGAAAACTATTCCTAGGTACCTCTAGAAAGTACATACCAAATCTGAGCTCTTAATATTAACGGGGCTCATCATAGTTTTCCATTTTCAATTTAGTCTCATATAAAAATAGTCATATCTTATCCAGTTGCATCGTCAATATTTATAGGAAATTGAACGCTCTACAAAAATGGTCTAATTTACTCTTTTCGTTAATCTGACCATTTAAAAGATATTCAGGGTCAAAGATTGAAGTATTTTAAGGAAAACAACTTTTTGTTTTGAATTTTGTAACTTTCTAAAAAATAATTATTTTCAAATGAGTTTCAATTATTTCTATAGGAAATTAAACGCTCTACAAAAAAAGGTCTCATGTAGTTAATCGATTACTCTAACCATTTATAAGATATTCGCAGTAGAATCCCAATGTCTGATTTTAATAGTTTTTCAATAAATATTTTCAATTTATCCATTCAATTTATGAATTTTGAAAATATTCATGAGAATTTGACTTTATCAATTCAATTTTCAATCAAGTCAATTTTTATAACTTAAACTAAAAGAAAAAATATATTTTTGTATCAATACTGTATTGAATTATAAAATTTCATATGGCGAAATAGAATTTTTTTTCTGCTGATATGTTTGATGATATTCCTTAAATAAAAACCTTCTTTTTCTGAAATAGATCATAAATTATCTCGAAATTCTTTAATTAAATGGACAAATTGGAGATATTTATTAAAAAACTATTAAAATCAGTAGACATTGGAGTTCTACTGTGAATATCTTGAGACCTTTTTTGTAGAGCATTTAATTCCCTATAGAAATAATTGAAACTCATTTGACAATAATTATTTTTTAGTATGTTACAAAATTCAAAACAAAAAAAGTTATTTTCCTTTAAATACTTCAATCTTTGACCTTGAATATCTTTTAAATGGTTAGATTAATGAAAAGAGTATATGAGACCATTTTTGTAGAGCGTTCAATTTCCTATAAATATAGACGATGCAACTGGTTTAACGATCTATTGGTGATAAGATATGACCATTTTTATATGAGACCAAATTGAAAATGGAAAACTATGATGAGCATAATCTTCCCGTTAATATTAAGAGCTCAGATTTGGTAAGTACTTTCTAGAGGTACCTAGGAACTAGTTTTCGTGTGTCGGATCCAAAAAAAAAATACTTGATTTTTTTTTGACCCACCCTAATGGACATATACATACATTCAACATAAAGTATATAACACATCACACACATTTGTTTTTAATTATAAAATTCAAAATTGTTAAATGAGATGTTCATATCTTTACATGCCAGAAAAAGCTATGGCGATATCGCTGAGGAAAAATCATTTTAGGGCATCAACGAAACCCAAAAGATCTACTCCTTCTGACATTTTGTTTACAGGGGGTGGAAGTTCACACTTTTTGGTCACAAATTGTTCAGACTGTGCCAAAACTATATATATGTATCGAAATTTGGGTAGAACTGTTATAAAATTAATCGAGAAATTTAAAGCGAAGGATCTTACTAAGCCATAGAAAATATTTCAACTCAATATACATACAGCAATGGTCATGCAAATAGCACACATCGGGTTGCAGACATTTTAATATCAGTAAAAATTTGGTGTTAGCATTTTTTTTTTGCTTATTACTTTATCAAACAATACAAAAAAGGAAATTATAATTCACTGATAAATCTATTTAACTGAATAATTAACTATCCTTATAAAAATGTCTTGGTCACGCAAATAGCACAATTCACAAAACCAGTTTCTAGGCCACTAAAGAGTAGAGATTTCAAAACTTAATTTATATAAAAAAAAAAGTAAGATTTTTATTTACTGTCTCACATCTGCGCCTCGGCTTCTACAATCTTCACCTTGGTTTGGGGTATCCAGGACAAAGTGCAATTTTTTTTTTTATTCTGCGTATATATTTTCAAATTAACGTTAATCAATAAGTGTCAAAACTACACAGGTCAATCTAATATTGAGTTATTCCACCATAAGCCAAACCTATCTGGCTTCTTCGTTAGATGCTAGTCATTAGCCCTGTTCGCGTACGCACTATCCAGTAAAATCCAGTATTAATTTACTGGTTTTTACTGGAAGGCGTGTTCGTACGCAAAAACTTGCAAGAAACCAGGAAATGAGAGAGAATTGAGAGAGCAAAATGACAGCTGAACTTGAGAGTTTTACTGGATTTTTACTGGATAAATTTTTACTAGTAACTATTTGCTAGTAAGAAAAACAGCCGATCGCATGATGATTAATGCAATTCAGATTACCAAAAGAATTATTTGTAGTGCTTTTAGAGTTGCAATAGACAAAATAAACATATTTAAATATAAATTCAGATTAAATACTATTTTTCTTAGAAAATTGCAACGGAAAATAACAAATGAATCAGCTGTTCATAAGACTTGCAACTTCTTGCTGGTTTTGCGTTTTCGTACTTTCTTGCATATTTCTCTCATTGGGAGTAAATATTGGCTTACTCTCCGAAATTTGGTTACTGGCAAGTTACTGGATATTTTTTGCTGGAGAATACAAAAACACAACTATTATCAACAGTGTTGCCAACTTTTGAGTTTCAAAAAGCACCAAACCTTGTAAAAAAGAGCGTTTTACCGCACTAAAAGCACTAAACTTTTTTTTTAATCAAAGGATACTTTTTTTCATAACAGTTTGTGGTAAACAAAAGTAAAAAAAATAAACAATATTTACATGTATAAATAAATACACATTCATGCTTACGAAGTAATACCGAAGTACTGCACATTAAAACTGGTAGGTACATCTGGAGAAAGAACAATCTAATCGCAACAAACGAAATTGAATTTTGAAGGGGAAGAGTAATACTTAATGATACCCTAAGTAGAAATGAGCGTAAAAATTTGTTGTTTTATAATTAACCGTGCTTTTACACTTAGAGGTTAGGATATCTCAAAATTCTGACGTGGTAGAGAAATTCTGCAGCCACATTTGGATTCAGAACCGAAAACTCTACAAAAACCGATGAACTCAGGTGGCAAAAAAAGTTAAATTTTTTCGAACTGTGTAATCAAGAAAATAAAAAAAATAAATACTTAACCTATCTGCGTGCTAGCATTTTCAACGCGAATACAATTTAACAAGAACGCAAGAACGTGGGAGTGCAACTTCATCTTTTTATTAATCATGGTTTGCATTTTAGTGCATTTAAATTCGGAGATTCTTGTAAATTCAGAAACTCTGGTTCAGGAAAAAGCACTAAAAAGGGCACTAGGCACTAAACCATTTTTTTTGGCGTTTTAATTTTCAAAAAGCACCAAATCTAGTGCTTAAAGCACCAAGTTGGCAACTATGATTATGAGGCATGGGCAGAGAACGAGCACACGCTCAAAGAGCATTACCATCGCGAGTACGTATACATCAGAGGTGAGCACTCACACTATCACACACATGCGCTTGTGTGCGAAGCAGCGAAGTTTTGCTCCAGTGCTCGGATGTTCCCACATTTGTGGTATAGATAACACTTTTTTACAGGGACATAACAGTTATAAGTTTTATAGCAAAAACGTTGCTCCATAACAGTTATGAGATGAGAAATATTTTTCATTTCGTCGAAAAGAGTTATAACCCAACGTTTATTTTTTACGTTGCCTGATAACTGTTATTTATGCAGAAGAAATATTTTTTCTGTTACCGATAAGAGTTATTTCCCAACGTTTATTTTCTACGTTGCTGGATAAGAGATATTTTACAACGTTTATTTTTTACGTTGTCTGATAAACGTTGTAAGATTAGGATATTGATGAAGATGGAGATGGAGAATAAGATAAAGACGATGAAATAAAAGTGACAGAGTGAAATAACTATTATCAGATAACGTAAAAATATTCGTCGGGCAATAACTGTTTTCAAGCAACGTAAAAAATAAACGTTGGGCAGTAACCGTTATCGAGCAACGTAAAAAATAAACGTTGGGAAATAACTCATATCAGCAACAGAAAAAATATTTCTCATCTATTAACTGTTATGAAACAACGTTTTCGTTAAATTTCAGAATTCAGGCAACGTTTTCAATTTGTAAATTCGAGATAACAGTTATTTTTGGTCCCTGCTTTTTTTTTTTGCTAAATTACATTTCTACTACTTCTACCACCGTAAGCTAAAAAACTTGCAGATATTGAAACTTCTTTTTTTTAATTTGTTTATTTGTGCATTAATGAATGGGTATTTTCTACAGCAGAAAACAACATTGCTTGCTGCGACGTCGACACATGGATGATATGATCGTCTTCGTGCGTCTTACGATAATTGACGATTGACTGATGCTTTGCTGGCACTACGTCGCAGCAAGCAGCATTTTGAAGCCCAATTACATGTGTTTGGAAAATCAAAAAATGCTCGCCTCTGGTATACATGCAAGAGCGTAACGCGACAGCATGCAAAATTACCCTGTAGGATCTCGGAATAGACTTAGAGCACACCATAAACTAGACTGCAAGTGATAGTTAGTCCAAAGTTTGGTCCAACAACATGTAAAATTCTATTTACTTTTAACATTGAAAGTCCTAGGCTCGGACCAATTGTCCGCATCTGCATTACATTGTAACCAATTTTGGGTAAAAAAAAAAAAAACAAAAATAAAACTTGCGCCAGCTGTGATTCGAACCGGGGTTCTCAGACTTCCTAAGCGGGTACTCTCTCTGCATGCCAACGTCGCACATGAAAATTTGTTGACTAAGTGCCTACATATCAGCAAGTCGTTAATTGTACCCGTTGTCCGCTACTGCATGACATTGTACCCAGTTTTTGATC